GCAGCATACTGATGATGTAAAGAACTCTCTTCTATCTAGACATCATTGAAATGATGGGACACAGTGAAGGTGTGGAAGTGAGCTGGTTGTAAACTGAATGTGAGGTGTGTGATGGACTCTCAGTGTGGGGTGTGTTGGAGCAGCTGAGGGAAACTGATAGAGCTGCAGGCTGTAGCTGCAGTAACAGATGGATGAGCTGAACAGGAATAAGAGACTTTTACACTTTGAGTACTTTGTAAAAGTAGTGATGGCTGAAAACTGAACACACTGTTCTAAATATAATATATTAAACACTGTTGTTTTTTAATTAGCATTTCACACACTGTCCCAACTTTTTGTTGGGGTTGCATGAAATCAGCAGAGGTTGGAGATTCATGATGTTTAATTATAATGATGAATAATGGATCAATCACACACACCACAACACATCACAGCACATCATGAACATATTTCTGCAGTGATTCTTTAATGCAGGAGTGTCCAGTCTTCTCTGCAAAGGGCTGGTGTGGCTGCAGGTTTTTATTCCAACAAAGCAGGAGCTGAACACAAGATCAGATGTTTGACAGGGATCAGTGTAAGAAACAAGTAGAATCAGGAGCTGCTTCTTGTTTGGCATGAAAACCTGCAGCCACACCAGCCCTTTGCAGAGAAGACTGGACACTCCACCACTTTTGATCATTTTTAGTCATTTGTGGTGCTTTTATTTGTAGTGTTTCAGTTTCTTCCATGAATATGAATTCACAGAAATCAATTGTGATGTGATGTTTATGTTGCTTTAGACTGAGTGGAAATAGTGTCTTTATCATATTAGTGAAAATAAAGTTCTGTTGTGTGAGACAATGAAGTTTTAGTGATTTGGTTCAGTTCATTTTCAGCTTCATGCTGTAGTGGCTGTACAATCTATATGCTTAAATCATCACTGTATTAAACACTTTTACCATTATGTAAAAAAAATGCATATGAGGAAAATTTCTATATACAAGATCATTTCTTAACATTCACCAAAACAATGTCATAAACATTATATACTTTATGGCCTAAAGTATGTGGACACCACGTGCATGCATCACACCTATATAAGACTGTCGGATATCTTGGGTGTTAATATGGAGTTGGTGACCCTTTGTGGCTGTAACAGACTGTGTCTCTGGGGGGTATTTGTGCCCATTCAGTCAGAAGAGCATTTATTAGTTCAGACACTGATGTTTGACGACAAGGCCTGGCTTACAATTGATGTTTAAATTCATCCCAAAGGTGTTCAGTGGGGTGGAGCTCAGGGCTCTATGCAGGCAAAGCTTGTGTGTTTGGGCCTCATTTTCTGCACAGGGGCACAGTCATGCTGGAACAGGAAAAGGTCTTCCCCAAACTGTTGGCACAATGTTGGAAGCATATAATTAATAAGTCTAAAATGTCTCTAAATGCTGTAGCCTTAATATTACCCTTCACTGGAACTAAGGGGCTCAAACCCTGAAAAACAGCCCCAAACCATTATCCTTCCTCCTCCAAACTTACTGTTGGCACTTGGCATTCTGATAGGTAGCGCTTTCATGGCACCTGCCAAACTCAGATTCATCCATCACACTGCCAGATTCCAGCATGATTCATCATTTTAGAAAACATTGCAGAGAATTTCCACTGCTCCAGTGTCCAGCCGTAGAATGATTTCCACAACTCCAGCTGATGCTTGGTATTATGCATTTTGATCTTAAGCTTGTGTGCAGCTGCTCGGGCATAGAAACCCATTTTATGAAGCTCCGAATGAGCAGTTCAGCAGAGCTTGTTGCTTCCTGAGGTAGTTTGGGAATCTGCAGTGAGTTATGCAACAGAGAATAGGCGCTATGTGCTTCAGCACTCGACAGCCCCTCTCTGTGAGTTTGTGTGGTCTCTCTCTTTGTGGTTGAGACACTTTCATTTCACAATAATAGCACTTACAGTTGACAGGGGCAGATCTAACAGGACAGACATTTCACAAACTGACTTGTGGCAAAGGTGGTATCCTATGACAGTGCTGTGTTTAAAGTCACTGAGCTCTTCAGTACGACTCATTCTACTGCCAATGCTTTCTAAGGAGATTGCAAGGCTGTGCGCTTAGTTTTATCTACCTGTTAGCAATGAGTGCAGCTGAAACACCTGAACTCAGTAATTAGGAGGGGTGTCCATCAGAGGTGGGAACAAGTCACACAGTTGCAAGTAATAAGTAAGTCTGAAGTCTTCACACTAAAATCCTGAGGCAAGTTCCAAATCAAGATAGTTGAGTGTCGATTAAAGTCTGAAGACAGTACAGGCGAGTCTCAAGTCAAGTCCCAAGTCAACAGTCCTAATCGTCAATCTGCATTCTTCAGCTAATTTAAGGCCATAACACTGACTAATGGTAAAAGTTCTATAGCCTTTTAATGACAGCATGTTAGCAGTGTATGTCTGTATATTAATGTTATTTATAATTATTGGTTATATATATATATATATATATATATATATATATATATATATATTTTACCCTTCCAACTAAAATGCAAAATCTATGGTACACAGATAACCATGTGAGGAATAGTATACACAAAGAGCAGTGAACTAAGCATGAAAAGAATTTTAAAAGTACTACTGAACTCAGAAAAAAAGTTAGATTTGAAGATAATGTTCCCAAAATCATCAAAAATTAGGTGCACATGATTAAAATAAAAAACTTGCTCAGCACTAAAACTAGCTCAGCCAAATAATAACAACCACTAGTATGAATTTAATTTAGACAACAGAAACCAAATCAACCGAGCTGAACAAAGTTTACAGAAAGACAGCAAAATGATGGTCAATGGAAGAAGCTGAAGTTGACTTTTTTCACCAGCTTCTTATTAGAATTTTCTGTTCCACCTTAAATGGAGCAGCAGTTACGTTCTGGTGCTCACTGCTGCACTATTTAAGGTGGAACGATAAATTTTAATATGAAGCTGGTGAATAGCATGTCAACTTCAGCCTCACTGTGCTTGTTTTACCTGCAGAAGCTGTTAAAATTGGTCAAACAGAGAGAGCTGTGTTTCTTTTGTTTTGCTACCATTAGGAAAATGGTCAGTTCACCTGGAGAGTTTCTCCAGTGAGACTGGAGTTTAGGTGCTGAGCGAGGGTAGACTGATGCTGTTGATGCTTCGTTTGTTTCGAGTCTTGAGTCTTTCCGAGTCATGACGCTCAAGTCCGAGTCGCTGGTGTTGAAGTCAAAGTCAAGTCCCAAGTCTTTCTCGATTTTCTTGAGGTGAGTCTAGTGTCAAATTTGTGACTCGAGTCTAAATTGAGTCCAAGTCATATGACTTGAGTCCACATCTCTGGTGTCCACATACTTTACTATATAGTGTATCTACAGTGTAGATTATAAACCATCTTTAATAATGATTCAGCTCTCCTGCTCTCCTCTCTGTCACTCCAGGCTCTCTCTCTTCATCTCTGTGTGATTCTCTCTGAACAGCTGATATCTGATTATCTCACTCAGCTGCTTTTCATGCTGCACTTTGATCAAACTGAACAAGCTCAGGCATCAGACGCTGTTTCCAGCCAGAGGCTGCATTAAGCTTTACATGCTCCATGTAATGCAGCAGCGACTGGAGCTGCTCACAGAACCTCCATTTCTAATGTGCTGCTCCACATTCACTGCAGTCCTAAGAGCTGATCCTGAATCAGTGATTAAAGGCAGTAAGTGAAGCAGTCTGATCTCTGCTCTCTCTGTTCTTCCCTCCACACAGTGATCTGATCAGGGTGGAAAGAAGAACTGAAGATAATCAGACTCTACTCTTCACTCTGATGGCTGACAGTAATAATCGGGTCGCAGTCCCTGAGACTATGTAGATTTGTAAACTATATTTAAATGCAAATTAAAAAAATAAGAAATTAAAGCTACGTAGGCACACATTAACAAATCAGAAGGTCATGTGACTTGACATCAACACTTCAAACTCATCTCTGCCAAAAACAAATTTGGTGGCATACAGCCTCAAGGCCAGTTTGAGGTAGGTGTAGATATTTTGTATACATTTTCAGTATTGTGATAATTTTACAGACAATATCTGTTTCCCTCTAGGGGTTAAAAATAGGGGTTAAACCATTCCTGTAAAAATGTATTCTAAATATGGATGCAAAAGTGTCTTGAGGCCTGTAGTGCATGGAAAATTTTCATTTTTTTAGAAATATGTAACCAAAATAGGCCATCCTGGGAGATACAAACTATAAAACTAAAAATCAAATAATATACATAATATAACATAATCACAAAATGTTATTTAAGCCTTAAGTATTTATGTTTTTACCGAAAGGTTATTGTGATTAATTCAAATGTGGTTGCTGCTCTGCTGACTACTCATATAAGACACTCAAATGCAAAACATTTTCGATTTCTTGATTACTAATTTGAAATAACATATTTAAATATAAATTAAAATGTGCATAGAGTCTGTCACTGCTGAGAGACATTTACTTATTCTGAGCTCATCTCCTCATCAGCTGCTACTATCAGTCAAATCAGCGCATCGGCTATGAGTGACAGTCAGTCAGAAGCTCTTACTGATCTGAACGAGTGCTTACACAAAGGAGATGCTGTCTTAACCTGCTAAATAATCCTCTCCTGTGCTCCTGATGATCATCTCCTCCTGCTGTGATTCCCTCTCTGATTCGCTGTAACTCGCTACATCTCCATCTCAGTCTTTGTAACTCTCTCTCCTTTTCCTTCATCCTATAATCAAACTCTTTCTGTTGCTTTGTCATGACTTCCCACATTCTCTGCTGGAGTTCAGGCAAGATGGTCTTCATGATTCTCTCTGCCTCCTTTTTGGCTTCACTTTCATACGTCTCCCTGATCTCCTCCATCTCCTGTCTGTGTCTCTCCTCCATCTCTCTCTTCTCCTTTTCAGTCTCTTCTTTCAGTCTCTCCAGCTCCAACTGAACCTCATTCCTCTGCTGAATCTCCCTCTCCACCTCTCTCTCCAGCTCTACCTTTCTCTTCTCATCTCTTTCCTCTTTCAGCATTTCCTCTAGTTTAGTTATTCGCTCTTCATGCTGAGTTATTTTTGAATAAAAGTTAGTAGTTGATTCTGTAAACCTCATAAAAGTCTCCTGTACACATCTCTCCAGTTTCTCTCTAGTTTCTCTTTCTTGTCTCTCTCTCATTTCTTCTTTTTCTCTCATAATTCTTCTCTCTATCTCTGTGATCTAAGATTCTGTCTCCAGGTAGATCTCACTGCTGTAGAATTTCTCTCTGTTTCCTTCCACCATCTTCTCTATCTTCTCCAGCAGCTCTGAGGTTTGAGAACCATCTCCACTCTCCTTAATGCTGAGACAGTGAAACCTGTTCCCACATTTCTCTACAAGTCTCTGGACCTCCTGGTTTCCTGACTGGATGAACTCTTCAATGTTCTTCTCTTGGACTTCGTCAGTGATAGTGAAAAGGATCATGGTGTTCCTCCAACATCCCTCTCCAAAAATCTCCTCCATTTTCTCCAGCATGCCTCTCTCCTCTCCTGTAGACTGCTTCACTGGTATGACTAGGAGGAAGGCGTGGGGTCCTGGGGCAGACAGACGGACACAGAGTCCCACGTCCTGTCTCAGCTCCTCCAGAGAGAGTCCAGGACAGAACCAGTCAGGAGTGTCCACCACAGTCACCTGCCTCCCAGCCACCTCCCCCCGTCTGCTCTCACTCTGCTGCCCCACTGTAGACGCTCCAGCCTGGCTCCTCTCCTCTCTGCCCAGGATGGTGTTTCCTGCTGCTCTCTTCCCACATCCAGTCCTCCCCAGCAGCACCAGCCTGAGCTCTGATACAGGAACTGACTCTGGAGAGGCTGAACTAGAAGATTCTCCACTCACTGTGAATCAACCAGAATGAGGAAATGATGTTACTGTATGTGGATATTATTCTCTGAATATTTATAAAATAATCATATGAAAGTGTATTTATTTACTATTTGGAGGAAGTTCTTCTTTACTGTTTCTTCTCCTGAGTGGTGCTGCTGAGTCTGGAGTCTCTCCACTCACTATAAAACAGAAGAATCATAAACAAATAAAAATTAGATGTAGTTTGTAGATAGTGTATATTATGAAATTTGCATACAAGTTATACTATCATATCATAAAATACCATAAAACAATTGACATTTTTTGTTTAAATTCACATTAAAACACACATTTTCATGTTCACTTATGCATTCTAATGTAACACTTCCAGTGTGTAGTTAGTGTTGCATAGTGATATATGTTGTAACTTTATGCAACCTTAGAATTTACTTACAGTCTGGAGGTAAAAACTCTTTGCTGTTTCTCCTTCTGGCTGGAGCTGCTGAGTCTGGATCTGTTCTCTCCTGCAGCTGCTTGTTTCTCTCCTCTAGAAGTCTGTCTTTCTCCTCAACCTGCTTGTCTCTTTCCATTAGCTGTGTGTTTCTCTCACTTAGAAGTCTCTCCTTCTCTTCAAGCTGTTTGTCTTTTTCACTCACTTCAGTTTTCTGTTGGTCCAGTAGGATCATCATCTCCTGTAGTTGTATGTTGTAGTTGCTGCTCTTGTCCTGCAGTTCCTTTCTCAGAGTCTCCAGCTGCTTTTTACTGCTTTCCTCCTCTTTCACTGTGATCTCCAGTAGGGTCTCTTTCTCTCTCAGCAGTTTGATCTGATTCTCCAGTTGTGAGTCTTTATCTTTAAGCTGTTTATTAACACTTTCTAATCTTTCATTAGTTTCCTTTAATAATGTATTTATAATCATGTCTTTATCTTTCAGTTTTATGTTTTTATCTTTCAGTTCTTGTTTTGTCTCTTTTAATTCTTCATCTTTCTCCACAAGTCTTTTCTCCATTTCTTCCATTTGTTTTCTATGACTCTCTAATGTCTTTGTTGTTTGTCTCAGTTCATCTTGTGTCTCTGTGAGAAGTTTGTCTTTCTCTTCTAAAATCTTCTCCTTCATCTGAAGTGTTGTTGTATTTTCTGTCAGAAGTCTGTCTTTCTCCTCCACTTGTTGTTCTCCTCTAGCTGTCTGTCTCTCTCAGATAGAATGTGTTTTGTTTCTTTGAGCTGTTTGGTCTTTTCAGTTAAATCTGTAAGAAAACGTTCAGACTCTCTGAATTCACAATTTTCCAAGTTAAAGATATACAGTACTGAAATGTAACAGTGTGAGTGAGTTTTTTAGCTGGTAAGGAAATATTAGAGTGGAACAGAGTTTATCTCTGTGTTAGGAAAAGCCCATCAACTGAAATAAAAATTTCAAATATATTAATGAGGAATTCAGTGGTAAAGATTAATGACAAACAGTTCCTATTTTTTAAGAGTTTTTCTTACTTTTTAATATTTTCCACATGCTAGAATTATAGTGGACATCAAAAATATGAAATAACACGTCATGCAGAGACAGTAAAACAATCAAAATATCATCTGTTTAGAATCTTTTAAAAGTTGCCCCCCTTTCTCTTCATGCAGCTTTACACACTGATCATTTTCTCATTCAGCTTCATGAGGAGCCATCTTAGATACTTTCCCACAAAACTAAAAACAATATATATTACGCTGAAAAAGCTCGTTGAGAGGCATTTAGAAATATGTCCTTTTTCAACCTTCAAATTTAAATGAAATTTTCGGTTTTGGAAATCATTCCATACACATGCATCAACTTCACTATTTGTATTCGTCTAAGATACAAATTTATTTGCATTTAAGGAGAAGACTTTTAATAAAAATGATGGAAAATGGATATTCAGATTAATTCCACGTATTATGTAACTACGCATGTATTAAATAGCTTTTTTAATTTAATTACATTGACTAATAAGTGTTATTTAATTATGATTTAATTACATGTATTATATAATATACACTAAATAGTGTTGTAATTTAATTATTTTCACTAATATAGTAAATAAAGATCGAGTCTGATGGTTAAACCTGAAACTTACCAGTCGTCTGTGATGAAATGAGAGTTGTCAGGGTTTCAGTTTCAGTCTGTAGGTCAGAATTCTGTTGGGCTGAAATGATAAAGACAGAATATTAATTTATCAGTCAGATATTTTACAATCAGTCTGTGTCTTAAATTCTTACCTGTGTGTTTCAGTTGTTGTTCTTTCTCTTCTAACTCTTTCTGCTGACGGGTGAGTTCAGTTTTCTGTTGTTCCAGTAGGATCATCATCTCCTGTAGTTTGCTGCTCTTGTCCTGCAGTTCCTTTCTCAGAGTCTCCAGCTGCTTTTTACTGCTTTCCACCTCTTTCACTGTGATCTCCAGTAGAGTCTCTTTCTCTCTCAGCAGTTCATTCTTCTCATCTATTGTTTTATTTTTGTTCTCTATTGTTTTTTTATGTTCTTCTAAGAAAGTTTCTAACTCTCTTTCTTTTCCTTTCATCTCTCTATCAAACTCTTTCTGTCTGTTTGTTATAACAGTCTGAGTAACGAGTTCAGGCAGCTTCCTGATGAAGTGTGTATCTGCTTTTACTGCACTCTTCTCTCTGATCTCCATCTCCAGTCTGAGCTTCTTCACCATCATCCTCCTCTCCTCCTGCATCCTCTTCAGCTCCTCTTCAGCCTCCTTCATCTGCTTCATCTGCTCATCTTCTCTCTCCACTCCTCTCTCCAGCTCTCTCCTCTTCTCCTCATTTCTCTCCTCTGATAACTTTTGGCTTACATCATCTTTTGTTTTTATGCTGTTTTATATCTCTCTTTATCTTTTTAACTGCTTCCTCTGAGTCTCTCAAATCATCCACAACAGCTCTCATCTTTCCTCTGATCTCCTCTTCCTCTCTTTGTCTCATCTCCACTCTTTCTCTCACTCTTCTTTCCTGCACCTCTCTGATCTCCAGACTGATCTCTCTGATGGTCTCTCTCTCTTAGTTCTTCTTCTTTATTGTGTGTTTGTTTGGCTGTTTTCTCCAGTTCAGTCTCAGCTCTCTTTAGGTTTTCCTCCTCAGTTTTCTTTTCTTCAATTAAGCTCTTTAAGTTCTGCAGTAGACAGAGATTCTCCTCCTTTAATTCTGAAATGATGATTCAGATTTAATAGATTAATGTCAGTTTAATACATTAATTTTCAGTGAACCAACCAAGATAAAGCTACTCATCAACTATAACTATATTTTGTTACAGTGTCTAACACACTTCATACTGTGTTATATTGTAAAATGCAAGAGGAAAATGTATTTAT